GAACACAACAACACAAAGGCGAGTTGAGTTTGTATAGAACATTTATTTATTCAGAGCAGATGGCCATAAGATGCAGTCACTGCAAGCACACCACTGTCCAGTCACTACAACACACACTCATACTCTCTCTCTCTCACACACACATACACACACATACACACAGGTTTCATACAGTCAATAGCAGAGCAACACATAACACACTTGGCCTCTCTCAAGCACTCGCATACAGTCGCTGCAGAGCAGAGGAGACGCCAGTCGGGCGTCCGTCCAGATAAGCACAGGCGGAAAATCAAATATAAACAGCTCGAAATAAAAACGGCTTGGCTTTATCTTTTTGTTAAGAAATAAGAAATGAACAGTACTTTTTGCTCCACAACACATTTGACCATCTGTGTTTTTTGTATTTTTTTTGTTTTGTTTGTTTTCCCACCATCTGCAGTATTTCACCTTGGTTAGCCTGACCCCTAAACCCCCCCGAGCACCCGAACACGCTTCAAAAATTAATGCCGACGACATGAGATGACCAAAATGAGACTCGAGGAGGGAAGAAGGAAAAAGGCAAAGTGTTGCTTTGACATGATGAGGCCGAGATTTAAAAAAAAAAAAAAAAAAAAAAAAAGAAAGCGTGGAGCTGTAAGCTGCACACACACCGTACGGGACTCCCTCAAGGATTCACCTAAATATCTAGTTTGTAATATCAGAGGACATTTGGTGCCAGATTGTGTTCGTAAAATCCAAGAGAGATTTAAATACGCAGCTACACAAGAGCACAGACTTGTCAGGACATTTCTCTGCTTGGAAATGTGCTTATTCGCTTCCCTGCTTAAGATTGAATTAAAAGATCGATACCGCTCACGAGTGCAGCAGCTTGGCTTAGCAGACACATCATACATGATGCACAGAAGAGTCCAGAATATTACAGTCGTGACTCGATAATCCGACACTAAATGTAAAACCTTCTTTTATGTCGGATTGTCAAGACGGAGGTCGAGGTACAAGGAGGGCTTGATGCTGGAAGGCTCATTTGTTCATATTCATTGTTCATAGTTGTTATAATAACTAGTGTATTGTTGGAACACTACACATCACTGGATTTCACGCCTAGTTGACCGGTGCATTTGGGCACGTTCCGGACACTTCCACCCTGACGGAGCGCTCCAACGGGGTGGAAGTGTCCAGAACGTACAGGCAGTACTTGGCTGCTGATGCTAGTTTAGTTAGTGCTCACACTTCTGTTTCCACCATCGGTGGCGGTGGGGGAGATACGCTCCAATGTTACCATCCATGTTTACTGCCGCAAACACTGAGCACGCTTGCTGCAGTGTGAACGTAGCCAATCTGTGGGATTGTTCAGTCAGATAATACGCCGTTATCCTGATTGGTGACATAAAATGTCATGTCGGAGTCAGAATCCGAGGCTGTCGGTATGTTAAGGCTATTTTTTATGGGTTCCGTTCGTTTTTCTTAAATCCTGTCTGATAGCAAGGTTTTCAGATTGTTATGGGTCGGATTATCGAGTCACAACTGTACTTCAATTCAACTGGCAATGCTGAAGGACGTTGTAATTACAAAAAGGAAAAGCTGCAAGATATCTTCTCTGATTTTGCGCAATCAGTGTCGAGACCCACAAAGCAGTTTTTCGGGGCCACTCAGAAGACAATAGGTGCTGTTTTTGCCCCTGGAAGAGGTCTTAAAGGGGCAGGTCTTTGGGTCAGAACGCACAAAAAGCGGCCTCTCTTTAGAGTATAACCGTGAGAGTGGTATCGATCTAGTTATCTAAGTCGTGGCAAGGAAGCTGAAGAAGCACATTTCCCCAAATTACTCCTTAAATATTCCAAATTTAGCTCAGCAGCTGACGTCGGACACCCAAAGTTTACGGAAGCATGTGAACGCGTTACGTGAAGCAGCCGTTTTGTCAGGAGAAGTTTGATGCCAATTGTTGGATCACACTCTGATTTTAACGTCACATCTCGTGGGGACGGCAGCATCATTTTCATCCTGATAAATCAAGATAGCAAAATGGAAAAAGAGAGAGATCCCCTTATATAGCACATACCCATCTACTGTATTGTAGTCAGACCAAAATCACAAAGCAAGGCACATGTTTCAAAGGAAAGACATTTAAAACGATACCAAAAAAATAAAACCGAACAAACAGGAATTGTTGGTATTATACACATCGCCACACCTGGACACCTGTACACATGTAGGCAGAGAAAACAATAGAAAATAATCATAATAATAATAATAATAATAATAAAAAGAACACTTCCTGGAAATATCCCAACATGGTATCCTACAATGATTCATCAGCTCGGACCACGTAAGCATGGAGAAGCAAACTGATTCAACACTCAGATTAGATCTGTTCACTTTGAAAAATAGTCTTCAGGATGACACACACATCATAAATACACTTCTTATTACTTCTTTTTTTTTTGTTTTTTTTTTGCAAATATCCATATATATAATCTCTATGTGATCATAATTTAAATACCACAACTATTCTCTGAAATCTTATTCGTAAAGGAGTGGCTGCTGTGGGACGGCTGTGGAAGTCTTAATGGGCCGAGGCGCCAATGAAATATTCGATTTCTTATCAAACCATCGGGCTTCACAGGTCTCCCGCCGCCACTGCTCGCTCCGTCCTAACACTTATTCTGCTTTTTTTTCTTTTCTTTTTTTTTTCATCCCATGTACATGGTGTCGTGACAACACGCTGAGTGGTAACCATGGCGACGCCGATGAGAATGGTGATGATGTAGATTGTCATGGCAACACGGGGTGGGCGGCTGGGAGAGTGTGGGACGAGAGAGAGCGATAGAGGGGTTGTGTGCTGGACTGTCAGGGAGTGTTTCGGAATTTCCTTTAGTTTTAATCTCAATAACGAAAGGCCTCCAGAGCAGGGACGCAACGTTCGGGGCTGACGCTGACCTTATTAACTCGATCTGCCGTCGTCTGGAGGTGACCCGTCTGCGTTCAACGCAAATGTTTCATCGCTATTATCAAAGAATTCGGCGCCTCTGACATCGGTTACATTCACCGACACAAGGCCGGCTGCTGACTCAGCGTTAGCACAATAGCAACGTCTGACCTTTTCTTACCTCACACACACAAAAAAAAGATCCCGCTGAGCTCCGTGCAGTGTGGTACACAAGCACCAGCCCTTGTTGGGTTTTTTCTCTTCAACACACTGAATCAAAGCAGTTTGAATGTAGGTTTGATCAACAGAAAAAGAGCCTTTAGCAGGACGTATGTGAATCATTCCTTGTGCAACAGCTTTGTGTCGTCAAGGGGTTGTTGTATCTGAAAGGTCTTTTAGAGTCCGCTTCAGAAATGTACTGCACAACTGTAGATTTGCTGTGATTTTACAGGATCAGATCAAAAGGACAGGCTGCTTTATGTGAGAAAAACAAAGAGAAAGCAAACCACAAGACGTATAGAAGACTGAAGTCAGCTGGAAAAGGCTTCTATGGTCAGATTTTGGTTGTTTAAGCACCATCACCTAAAACAAAGCATTCCTGGTGTGAAGCACGGCGGCGGCGGCATCATGCAGAGTAGACTGAATGCGGTAAAATCTGGAGATATGCTGCAAGAACTCTGCCATGTGGGAGGTTTTGTTTTTGACCTTGAGTGCGTAGCCAAAGCAACGCAGCAAAACAACGGTCACACCCTGAAGTGGCCAAAACCTGTATTCTGTAGGGCGACTGGACGGTCGATATGCTGCCATCCAGCTAAGTTCTAACTGACTAGGCAGTGTTACTTCTGCAGAGAAAAGCACCAAATCAATGGTCTTTCAGGATTTACTGTGACTGAATGTTTCCTCGATGTCAGCTGATGTAATATGCTCCAAATACTCGCGTCATTTCAAACTGATTGTTGACCAGTTTATGCCATCTACAGATAACGTGCAGATTTCTTTTCCCTCCAATCGACTGGTAGGAAGTCGACCAATATTTAGTTTGGTTCACTACAGCTCCGGTATTCATTTGTGTCAGAAAAATCCCTGGTAAGGGTTGAACACAAACACAGCTGATTGAAGTCTAGTTGCACAGCCGCCGAAATTAATCAACTAAACTGTGGGAATATAATTAATTTTTCCTGTTTTCCTGTTGATCAATGTCAAAATTCAGTGTTTGAAGACAATAACGCGTAGGGACTCACTTAGCTTAATGTAACAATAGCTTATACTGGTGCTGCAATAGAACGCAGTGGTGTCGGATCGGGGTTCTGTATCAGCCTAAACACAAAGAAAACAGAATCAGCATCGGGAGAGAAACATGTTAAAAAACAAAAACGTTTTTGCAAATCGGTCAGCACTGTTGTTTTGATCTAGCTTACTCCATTTGCTTGTGCAGGAGATTTGGGAGCTCAATCTGACCTTCAAACCCCCGAGACGTCCACCTCTAACCTCTACCTGACCTCCCTTAAAACCCCTTTAACCCACGAATCCTCCTCCAGAGCATCCCCTAAACTTCACCTACTTCATCCTCAAGACAACCTGCTGTAGCCTCACCGAACTCCTTCCCTCCTCTCTCACATTTAGTTTATATTGTGCAGGCTCCCATGTGTGTATGTGTGTGTGTGTGTGTCTGTGCAAGCCAGTTGCATGGGTCATTGTGCTTCTCCTGTGTGTGCATGTGTGCGGGGTGACGATGAGGATGGGGATAAGAGATGCAGCCGGGATAGGAAACTAAACTCGATCCTGAAACTCCACACATAGCGCGCACACACACCTGTCACACTGTCCCTATCACACACACACACACACACACACACACCAACACACAAGCACACCTCAGGAGCTGAATTAGTCTCGTTTTGGTCACAGATAAAAATTTTTCCACCAAGTCATTTACATCGTCACAACACCAGAGGTCACCATTCCACACAGAACCAAGACATCAAACCAAAGAGCTAGAGATTCATATTTATCGGTATATTATATATATTACTGTGCTAATGCAGGACTTTTTCAGTAGATATAAACTCTCCATGCTTAGAATGTACACATACCATACTATGATTCGTTACACAGTTGGTTTTTTCAATCGGTATTAGTTTAGTTTGTTTGTTCGCGCGGAGTTCTTAAAAGACTCACGTTTTGATTGCAGTCTCCTCCATTTTGTTGCATTTCTTCTTCTTCTTCTTTTTTTTCTCTCATCAGTCGTTTTTGGTCCTTTTTATTCCCACCTCCTCTCTCTTTTTAGTCATCCATTCTTCCCTCTAACTCTCTCTCTCTCTTTGCCACAGGTCCATCCAGGCCTGCAGCCCATCATCATTTTCCCCCCCCTGACAGGAGATGAGAGGAAGAGGAGAAGGATAGTTTTGTTTTTTTTTTCCAGAGCAGCGATGGACAGATGGACGAACGGATGGACGACGGGGACGAGCGATGAGACGGGGGGGAGATATGAGCGAGGCGGAGAGAGAAAGAGGAGGAGAAAGGAGCGAGAGATAGAGAGAGATAGAGAGAGATAGAGAGGCGTGTCGCCCGTTGTGCCGTCTGAGTCACTCCTGATGCAGCGTTGCTGTGGAGACGCGCCGACTGGTTTCCGTGGTTACTCCAACATGGCGTCCAGCTGGTCGGCCAGGTCATCGAACATGCTGCCGATGTCGTCGAGGATGCTGACCGTGGTCTTCTGCTCGGCCACGGAGCTGGATGCACAGAAACACACACAGGAGCATAAATGTTCAGCATCTGATCTTAATTTAGACGTCGTGTTAACATTCTGACATTCAGCTCTAAGTAGTGAAGCCTTTTGCAGACGTACAGCCCAGAATTTGTGATCGTGGACGGTGGTGTGTTAAAGAGACGGTAGGAGACTTTTATACTTCATCACTAAAAGAGCTTTAAGTTGTTGCTGCCAGAGTTTGGAGGACCTTTAAAGGTTTCCATCTACACAGTGGAAAGTTCTAACTTTTCCAGAAATCCTGTGAAATATCCATGAATTGTGCATTGCTATAGCCCAGTCTGTAAGTAGCTGCTATGTCCTGACCGATGTCGATGACCAGTTTTAGCATGAACAGAACCGTTATCCATTTTTTTGAAGTCCACATGAAAGCATGAATGGACCGTAAAGGCAGCAAGTCGACTTTAGCCATTAGTCTTGGTAAAATATTCTTGAAGTTCTTTGTTTTTAGCGACTCAAACTTTGTCTCAGTTGTAAGTCTGATTGGAGCAGCACTGATTTGAAAGTTGGGCTGAAAGAAGAAGAAACTGAAATTGAATGATTTTATTGAATTGAAATCGCTCAACCTGAAAAACTAGAATTAAAAAAAAAGAATCATATATCTAGAATTTATTGAAATGAAACCGTATTACACGAAGGTGAAACTGTACGTTATATTTTGAAATTGAACTGAGTTACTCGGTTAACGATAATGAAACCTCATTGTTCTGCTAACCAATAATAATAATTATTCAAATTCAATGTGGGGAGGAAAATAGATAGTTTGATCTTGGTACGTTTATTTTTCTTATATTAATTTGTTGCTTGTGATAACGTTAGTTTTGTTCAGCCCAACATGTACAAAAACCATTAAAATGACTTTAGGTACTCTTGTACTAATCTTGTATTGATTAATGATGATTGAAAACTCCTGATATTTAACTACTCAGTTTGCTATTTGCATAACAAACACCAGTATGTTGGATGAAGAGAGGCCAGTGAGTCTAACCCTAACTGCCTCTAACAGAACATGAGCTAGCATGTGCATATGTGTTCTTACTCTTCCTGCCGCAGTATTTTGTCCTCCACGGCCTGCAGAGCGGCCGCCAGCGAAGCGCTCGTCTCCTCCAGCTTCTGATGCACCAAAGAATCCACCCCAAAGTCTGGCGTGGTGGTGGGCGGCGCCGTGTTTCCACCCCCCGCCATCCCACTGTCCACCGACACGCCCCCGATGGAAGAGCGCGGGGGCTTGACGGGCGGTGGGGTCGGGCTGGGCGTGGCGGGCGTCTGGGGCGTCTGCGGCGTGGTGGGGGTCTGCGGGGTGTGGGGGCTCTGGGGGGACGGGCTGGTCGGCTTGGCGTTGGGCGGGCTGGGAGTGTTGGACGGCGGGAAGGAAGGCGGCGAGCTGGTCTGTCGGGGTACCGCGGGGTGCTGCTTGGGCGGGGCGGTGGCCGGGGTCGGGGACGGCGGGCTGGTCATGGAGTGGATGAGCTTGGCCGGTTTGGGCGCCGTGGGCGGGGGCGCTGGTTTGGGCGACACTGGTGGAGGGATCTTCTTTCCTTCCACTGCGGAGACGGGAAACAGAATGACTGGATTACTGAGCAGTAAATGTGAAGCAAAGATTTCATCACATAAATACCCATAAGAACAAACTGAAGGTACACACAGTGGAACGTGTGAGGCCTCCTTGTTAAAGTTTTAATAAATACTGGCCTGAAAATCTGACTTTTACGAGTAAATCTGAAAAACTTCCTGATTTGTTGCCGCCACCAACTGCAGAACTCGAACAAAGAAGCCAGCGTGGATCATTTTATAGCCCCATAAACAAATAACCGCAACAAGGATTTATCGTAACGGGTCCTGCTGATCAATAATGACTCCATCAGTAGTTTGCTGGGGACTTTTTCTGGCTTTGAATTTACGGCTTTTAAAAACTTGCATTCTCGCTTTGACTTTCCCAAAACAGCACTAAATTTGCCGCCATCTGCATGTTAATATATCAGTGTGACTTTGTGTGCGTTTCAGAGCTACATTTAAAAACCCCGTCCGTTCACACCTATCAGGATTAGGAGTCGGAGCGTCCTGCGATTTCTGTACGACGTATGAGCTTTATATCGACAGAATCAGCTGGGATCGTGCACGCAGTTATTCTCGATCGAGACGGAGGTCGCCGCCATATTCTGTATTACTGACCCAAGTTTCATTTACAGGAATAAATTGGAGCGTAAGATAAATACATCCAAACAGAAATGATTTACGAGGTACAACGGAAGGACGAAATTTGCAAGAAACCAAAGCTTTCAAATGAAACATTTAAATAAAATATAATTGCAGAAAAGGCAAAGGTTCCTGTGTGCTCAGTCAAAGAGCAAAGTTGAATTTTTCCCCACAAGATTTATACGTAACACTTCTTTTAAATGATCCTATGAATAGTTAATGCAAGATTTTACATGTTTTATGAAACATATGGCAGAGGTTCAGATGAAAAAGTAGGCGTTTGGGGTCCAGCTCAGATTGCGTTGCCTCAGTGCATCATTAGGTGGTAATGAGTCTGTGATTAAATTAAATTACTTTGCATTTTACAGTTTCTCACTGAGGTGAATTACTGTAATTTGTTCCTCAATTTTAGGCTCTCAGGACTCAGACTCCACACTTTTTCAAACTGAACTATGGAGCTGTGCTGTATTTGTAACACAGAGCATAGTCACTGCACACAGGAGGATTCTGTTCCCGGGGATACGATGGAGTTCTGGATGGGATCTATGGGCCAGAACATGTGGTACAGATTCTGGCACTGGTACCAGCTGGATTTATGGTAGCAGATCAGCTTGATGGAAACTGTGCACTGTAAGTCTTTTTTTTTTTAAACGTTTGCAGATTTATAAATTAGTCAGCTCTCTCACATCGCTCTCTCGCTTTCTCTCATTTGGCAACGTGAAAAGCACTTTCCATTTAGACAAAACTAAGCTTGACTGATACCAGCTGATGCTAGCGCTTTAGTTCCTGATATCGATACCTCAGTTTTAAACGGCCGACACCAGTTGTGTTATCTCCTGATATGTGATGTAACGAAACGTTAGCTAACGTTGTCAAGTGTCAGTTACTCACCGAGACACCTGCCTCTTCACACCACAAATGCATTTCTTGCTAATGACGGTTACTTCTTCTAATCCTTGTCTGTTCCTGGTGTCTGTGACATCCAGCGTATTTACTATTATAAAGCTGGGGTCCCTCAGATGTATAGGAATATACATTTTTAGTGTCAAACGTATTGTTAGGATCAATGTTTCTGATCGTTAAACTGCACCTTGCTTGGCCACGCTCCCTTTTGTGATGCCACAACCGTGTCGTGTCACTTTGAAGTGAATAAAAAACCCAGTGTCCATGTAGACGTAGTTTTTTTCGAACACATACTTCCTATTTATGGGAGTTGAGGTAGGCAGAAGGGTAATACTTGTGCCATTTTTGTGATCCCAGTGTTCTTGAATTTTGTATTCGACTTCCCCTTGCAAATTAACTTAAAGAACTGTTTGTTTCGTAGAATCTACTTAAAGAATCCTGATTTGTTTTGGTTGTCTGATCATTTTTTTTAATGTCTTTGTTTTGGCAAGATCTATGGAAGGTTCCAATCACACATCTAAGTCGATTTGACCACATGCTGAACAAACAGAATTCGTTATCTTTGTTGTAAGCTTCTCTATTTGATATGCCAATATTGGAAATTCCATAAACACGGGTGGATATTGAGGATAAACTGGTTTAAAATGAGTTACAGTATCCCCATCTGAGCAATTGTTGTGTTTTGCCCCTTTACTGTGATGGAAGCCAGTAACGCACTGTATGACTGAGCTCGTTTAAGCACACCGACACCTTTACAGGCTTGGGTAGCTTGTAAAGGCTCAGTAAGCTTTAAACAAAAAGCCTCTTCTGAACTCCCATCCCCCAACATATTTCCAATATTTTGACTTTGAGGTCACTTTTTAGGTGTGCAATCAAGGACAACCCCATAAATCGCATTTGTCCTCCAATGTAGCTGGATGAAATGCTGTACAATCAAGTTTGTTCAAAGCATAATACGTCCTTTACAGGCTCAAGTTGTAGTTCCACCAACCTCCCAGATATCTAGGAGGATCCATTTTAATAGGCAACTATCTGTACAATCAGGCTTCATAAAGAAGGTTAGGAAGTTCATCAAATATCTTGTCTTCCTTTATGACAGCAGCGGTGTTGCTACACAGACAAGCAAACATGTAGTGTGAGTACCTGGACTTCCTGGTGTCCCAGGGCCCGGCAGGGGGACTCTTTTGTTGGTGATGGGCTGCGGGGGCGGTTGAGGACCTCCCTGTCTCTTTATCTGGGCCACGACAGGCTTCGGGGACACTGGAGGCTTTGGTTTCCTCACCGGACCTCCTTCGTTTGCCACTGGAGCTCCTTGGTCCATGCTGTCCCTGCGAGGAGCGGCAGTCACTTGCGGTTGAGGTTGATGTTGCGGTTGAGGTTGCGGTTGCTCTGTCACTCCAGCTTCAGACACTGGGCGGCGTTTCACGGTGGACGTGCCGTTCTGGTAGGGTACTGGCTGCGTGGTGTTCGGCTGCCCGGTGCCCACGGGTTCCCCGTTAGCTGCAGCCAGGTCTGCGTAGCCCTCTGGCTCCTTGTCCCGGCTCTTGGGCCGTCGCTTGACGGTGGACGACTCCTGGAGGGTGAAGTCGGAGCCGTTGGGGTGCTGCTTGGAACTGCGGGGCCGTCGCTTTAAGGTAGCTGTAGCTTCGACCCTGGAGATGTCCTCCTGGGTGTAACCGCCGTCTCCCTGGGGCCCCTCGCCGTCACCCTGCAGACAAACACAAAATACACACTAACGGAAAATTCATACATTCGTGGTAAGAGGTCATTTTTGCACAAACAGTCAAAAACATTGACAAAGATAAACAGATGAAGCTTAGCGAACACAGAAGCTACACTATGGATTTGTAATACATAAGCGCACATTTAGCTTTAGCACATTACATTACATGGATATTGAAGATGCAATATATAGATAGACAGGCAGATAGACAGATTGATAGCTTGATCGATTGATAGCTTGATCGATAGACAGATAGATAGATAGATAGATAGATAGATAGATAGATAGATAGATAAATAGATAGATAGACAAACAAACATATATATAGATAGCTACCTGTCCTTCTCCTTCTCCTCGGCCCTGGCGGCGGATGGTCAGGTTTCCATCTTCTGCAAATGGCAGGTTCTCCGATGAGCTGCCGCTGCCTCCCGAGCTGGGGTGGGGTGAGGACGGAGGGTGCGGCGGGGAGGAATTTACAGGGGGAGGCGAGGTCTCAGGCTGGGCGGCGGGAGCAGGGAAAGCCGAGAGAGTCGGCTGGTCACGCCTGGCAGCTGCCACCAGCTCGCTGACGGGGCCACTGATGGTCCGCCGTCGGTTCACCACCTCGCCATCCAGACCAATGGCATCACGCGTTTTCCCCACCTGGTTAACATACAAACACACCATTGGCTCACCATGTTTGGCTTATTTACCACATGAATAAATAAACAACTTTAGTTTATATTATAGTGAAGCAGATTATATACACTACCTGCAGGAAGTTCTTCTGCAGTGCCATGCCTTTGGCTCCACCGCCTATAGAGGACATCTCCAACATGGCGGCGATGCTCCTCACACTCCCCATGCTGCTCGTCTCCACAGCAGGTGGTTCCCCGGACACCCCCAGGTCGCTGGCCCGCCGCTGTTGGTGGTAAGGCACGTCCAACATCCCCCCTGTAGTGGTGAGTGTTTGCTGCTGTGCGTTAGCCTCTGTCAGGTTGGAGTTGGAGCTGGAGATGGCAGAGCTGGAGCGTTTGGGGGGCGGTGGAGGTGGACCTTTTTTCTTCTGACGCAGAGCAAAAGATTGGGTCTGACTGCGGCTGGCGTTCTTTTCCTGGTTGCGGACGGACTGGCTGCGGCTGACGCGGTGGGTCACTGTGGCGTATTTAACTCCATCCCCTCTCACGACGACGGGGCCCTGACTTTCAACTGCTTCTCCTTCTCCACTACCACCTCTGCTTCCTCCTCCCGCCCTCTCATCACACTCGCCATCTGAAACGGCGTATCGGTTGAGGCTGTGGGCGCGTTTCTTCTGAAGGGCCGAGGGATCTGCTCCTTCTTCCTCCGCCAGCTCAGCCTCTGGTGGGAGACAGAGGAGTGGAACCTGTGGTTGTTGATTCTCCCTAACCTCCATTTCCTGCGGTGGTGCCTGGTGCTGAGGGTGCCCTTGGTGCTGAGGAAGTGCCTGTTGCTGAGGGTGCCCCTGGTGCTGAGGATGTGCCTGTTGCTGAGGGTGCCCTTGGTGCTGAGGATGTGCCTGTTGCTGAGGGTGCCCTTGGTGCTGAGGATGTGCCTGTTGCTGAGGGTGTGCCTGGTGCTGAGGATGTGCCTGGTGCTGAGGGTGGACTTGAGGTTGCTGCTGCTGCTGGGGCGGAAGCTGACATGGAGCTCCGCGGTGGGTCGGAGACTGAGGCGGGTGGGAGCGTGGTGATTGAGGTCGCTCCCCTTGGATGAACTGTGGGGATGGCTTGGACTTGGCCTGCGGGGAAGCTGTGCTCTGGACCGAGGAGGTGGAGGAGGAAGATGAGGTCCTGGTCTTGGTCGGAGTGTGAGGGGGTGTGTAGGGTGGCGCAGGCTGGGAGTGGGAATGGGAGTGACGATGTTTGCCTTGAGACGACACGCTGCCTCTGTGGGAAGAGCTGCTTCCCTGGCTGCTCTGCTGCCTCATAGTCCGCGCCTCCTTCTTAGGCGGACCACCACCACCTCCTCCTGTCATCACCTCATCGTGGTCTTTGCTGAGGCTGCGTGTTCGCTGGGCTTTGACCTCCTGACCTGGCTGGGTCATGGCACTCTGTAGCTCGGTGCTCAACTCGCTGTCCTGGAAGGTGGTCATCTTTGGAGACATTATCTCTACAGAGACATAAAGCATTCAAATAAATATTAATCTTAATAAGTAAACAAAGTGTGACCATTCTCATTAGGTACAGCAGCTAAAGCTCATTAAGAGTTCATCATTATGAAATTCCTCATCTGTTAGCTCACCGTCTGGGGGCGGACTGTCCATTGACATGACATCCTGCTGCTGCGTGATTGGTGGAGGCTTCTTTCTGAGGGAGCTCCGCCCATCTGTACCACGTTGCATTTCAGCCAAACGCTTCACCGCCAGCATCAGCTTCTTCTGATGGCCTACAACATCAACAGATTAGAAATACTGTTCAGCTTAAAGAAGTAATCTTTTTAAAGATATCAAGGGCATTTCAGTAGAGAAATTAGATCGGTGTTGCCAAACAAGTTTTCTTATAAAGGTTAATAGTGAGAATGTGCAAGAAGAATTTAAATATTAATAATTAAAACCCTACTGTATTTTATAAAATATAAACTTACCTGACATAAATTAAATGTTAGGTTTAGGCTAAGACCCTACAATACTATATACTAATACTATATACTAACAGACCCTGTCTAATTTAAAAATTAGAGGTAAGATAAAATTATACAAAGAAACCCAATGAAACCGAAGATTCAGAGAGTACTGTGCAGCTAGAGACGCTAGCTGCTTAGCGGAAACGAACATTTAGCATAATGCTACACCACCCTGTGCATGTTATGTAAATCGTCCCAATACTATACTGCTGTAGCATCACAACGTAAAACCCTTGCGACAGGAGCTAAAGCATTTTCGCCAACAGGTTAGCACTAACAGGGTTAGCTTGCTGATGCTACTTGTTAGCAGTTGTGGTAGCACAGACATCACGCCTCTCTTCTCAAAAGTCTTGACTAAATATGTGCCAAGACCAAAAAAAAAAACAAACAAAAACAGGAGTTTTAAAAATAAACGGGGTATTACTTTAAATTCCCCATTTAAAGGATTTAGCTGACATTACTTTCTGATATATCAGTGTTGCGTCAATAAAGAGGCCAACGGGATACATTTAGGTATATTTTGGACTTTGTAACCTGTCTCCTAATCACATTAGGATTATTTTTGAACACATTAATCTGTTAATGACGTCTCTAGATATATCTAATGCTGGTCGTCCCTCGTCAGCCATCTTGGCGCTTATTTTGAGCTAACAACACAAGTCTTCTATCTAAATGAACGGGAGGAGAGCCATAACTGTAATTTCAATGGTCACCTTGTGATAGAAACTGCATGTTTAGAACCACCAGTCTGATAAAAACTAATTAAAATAGAGTTTAAGCAGCATTTCTCCCCCTGCATGCTCTACTTCTAATACATATGTGCAGAACTTTTATTATGTCAGCGCAACAGCATGATTAGTTGGATGTTCTCTAGTTTGGCTGCTACAAAGCAGACAATTGGCTGTTTATATCAGAGAGGCGGGACATGTGTCATTCAATCTTTCCCTTTACAGAATTGTTGCATAGCTTTCTACGGAGCATCCTGCAAGTGTTGAGTCTCTCCCTTATAATGTGTCACTCTGTTCCCAGTGGGCAAAGAATATAAGCTTGCAAGACCTACAGTAAAAGAAAGCTTGATTTACTGCAGCTTATGGCGCTCATGGTGATGCCTCTCTGTGGCAGACATTGACCTCTGCAGACTAACAGTGCTTTGTAAGGAAAACTGTCACTATCAGGGAGGTTACATACTATACTGCATTGACAGTAGATGTATGGCTTACCGAGTTTGGTGATGCCTATTTCCTGTAGGTCCTCCCAGGTGATGTCAGTGATGAATTCGATGTTCTCGTAACCGTTCTGCACTAACACCTGGTGGTACTGGCTTAGACCGATGGCAGACAGCCACTCTCCTAGATTGGCCTGTAGGAACACCAGACACATGAGCGCTCACTGGGCCAATCAGGGTGGACCACAGAGGCCAACACTTGTAGCTTGCCTTAACTATGTCAGAGTAACCATTTTTAATCCATCAATAACAGAATAGCAGTAGACATCATATAAGACCATAGACTGTATAAAAGATGGACGTAGCTGCCGTGACGTCACCCGTTGGTTTCTGCACTGAGAAAATGAAGCCAGGGTTTTGCTACTTCCTGGTTGACATCTTGGATTTTTGGAGCCAGTGACGCAAAAATCGTCGGAGGGGGGCGGAGCCATAGGAGCAGCGATTGGTCAGACGGATTGAGAGGCGGGCCCTCTCTGCCCGCCCACATTTACCGCCTTCTGCTCGGTTCATCTGTATGGTCGCTGCCGACTGTCAATCAAGCCAGCCACGCCCCTTGACCCGCAAAATGTTGACGATTTTTTAAAAAATCAGTATTGATTTATTTTCAGATTGGCCACCTGGTCTCTGGATTTGACCATGAAAACTAATAAGAAACAAATCCTGAGCTGTAGGAATGCGGTATTTCGTGATCTGGTCTATGGGAGCCAGGGCTTTTTGGAGCCAGGACTAGTGGACGTAGTGATATTGCAGGTTTTTGACACTTCTGGGTTGGCTTCATTTTTCAGGGCCGGTTGCTACGTCCATCTTTTATACAGTCTACGTATAAGACAGACATCTGATTGTTCACAGAACCACTGTGTGCGAGTGTTGAGAGTTGTACTCACAGGTTTCTGCTCAGGCAGCCACTCGGTGACACTCAGCTTGTTAATCTCTGACGTCATCTTCTTTCTGTGACCCGGTTTAGTTATTCCTATAGCTGTCAGGTCCTACGCACACAAGCAAACACACACATGTAAGCGACATACTAACATGTTCGGGCGTTTTCTCTCACAAATCCCCCAAAAAAAAAGTCTCCCCAAGAGCCCAGCAGAGTTTCTCTCTTTGTCTCTCACACACACACTCATAGAGGAAATCTTGCAACTCAAGAGACAGCGTGACATTTGATGAAAGCTTCTGCCAGTTGAGGCGAAAAGAGCAGAGATGCAAATGTCTCAAAATCATAAGTAAAGCGGAAGAAGGAACAAAAAGCAGATGTCTGCAGTGAAAGAAAGCATCTAAAAGAAAGAATCAGCTCGATTCTCCGTCGTTTAAATGACATTCAGCCGGTGCCTTTTTATTTCTTTAACAGCTAAACATGCTCATAGTTTATTAGACGTCACAGAGCGCAGTTTCATTTTTTTTACGAATGCAGTGCCATGTTATCTTTGCTCCTGAGAAAACCGCTGGTAGTTGTTGTTAGAACACACTTCTACAGATTATATGAACTTTTACACCTGCCACACACACACACACACACACACACACACACACACACACACACACGCTTGCATAAGTCATTACAAGCAGATGTTACAACACAGCACAAGAGGTCTTGACTCTGTGACACATCTCCGCTAACAAAAGCTCTTTTTTTGTCAGCAAAGCTCTGAACTCTTCAGCATGCACGTAGTGTGCGTATACGTACAAATAATTTACGAGCGCTATAAATTATTTGCGTGTTGGTGAGCGTGGCGGAGAGTCTGGTTCCTGTGGACAGGCAGCAGCAGCAGCAGCAGTGTTGGAGGTGAGGGGAGGGTCAGGAGGTCGAGTCCGTATATTTATTTATAAGTTCACTGAGTTTATTTTTGCTCAGCTGCACTGATTTCAGCTCAGAATGGCAAAAATAGTCGAATAAAGTTACTGTCATTATGCAGAATAATGTCGAATTAATTTTACATAGCAGCATTTTTTTTTTAGTTTAGTTTTTTTAGATTGTATTTATCACATTGATGTAGAAATGTTTAAAGCTTATTTTTTAAAATTTAATTGGACACATTTTCCATCTTTCGGCTAAAGTAGTTCTGACTAAATTATGCACAGCGGCTATTATCTTTACAACTTTGAATAAAGAATGAAAACTCTTACAGGGAGTTAAAGGAGGCTTGTGTTGACATATATTCACTTCTCTACATGTTTAGTTGGACAAATTTAAAAAGAATAGTCAAAATGAAAGCAGCAGCTATCCTGACTTTTCTCTACTGGGGCTCAGGCTATAAAAACATTGGATCACGTCATGATTGCATTTCTTATTAGACCCTCCCTATCTGGTAAATGGGAACTTTTTAAACATCAGGCACCTGAAGTTTAAAATACAGGCTTCCTGTTTTTTTCAGTGAGCACCCTAAAACTTGATGGCATCACTTAAAGCTGCATTAAGTCATCTTTAAACCACAAGGAGTCACCAAGACTCACAATAAAACGACTGTGGAGCAGCTAGTTTATAAAGTTAAACACAGGCGTACTAACACGTCCAGCAATATGGTTTGTGTCTCATCACGTTCACTTGACTGACGCAACTTTTTTGGCCTTTTAGCTCCTCAGACAAATTATTAGAAGCTAAACGCCTCAGTTCCTTCACCAAACTTCTTTCTGCGCAAATAAAAGTTTTATAATGCGGGGCTGGTGAGAGCCACGAGACTCAACTGTACAATGTGTTTGTCTGGAGAACCAACATAGTTTTGCGCCCTTCTACAATATGGTGCATAGGGGTCGATCAATATGTTCTTTATTCAGGGCTGATTCTGGTACAGATTACCAGTAATTAAGGAGACACATAATTGACATTTAGAACTAATATTTGCAGTAAAAATGGAAAATCTTGGTTTAAAATTTAGAATAACTCAAACTCCAGCCTAAAACTTCACTGAAAGCCTTTTGTATATTTATGTGTTACATACGTTTAATTAAAAGAGAACGTTCCAACATTTATCCTTTAGGGTTAATAGCAGATTATTACTTGATGAGTAACCAACCAGATAGTGCTGTGGGCAGGACATAAGTCCAGAATACAGAGTGACACCAGATTGAGAAAGATGGCTGCAAAGTAATGTACTTGCATTGTGTTTATTTCATCAGGAGGTAAACCTTTAACCAAAAACAACTTTGACTAGAAGACAAATCTGAATAAAAACACAATAAAAGTCGAGGCTGGGATGTGAAGCTTTTGTCGTTGCCGCTTTCGATCAAGTACTTTATTTTTATTGGTACTTTTTGAGAGCAAAACAAATTAAAAACAGAACGAATTTTGCTTTATTTCCTCTGTTTAGTGTATTTAAATTAGTGATGCACGATATTAAAATATCTGGCCGATACCTATATTAAGGTTTCTGATATTGCCGATAACCGATATTACCGATTCAATGTTTGTTCACACTGAAAAATTAGTATCAGTCAGCCCTGTGAGAACGTAAAAAACTATTCAAAAGAAGTCCAAATTAGTGAAATTAGGCTTCATTAGTAAAGTGACGAGTATTGGCTCCATTAACTGTCCAGGCCCACGTTCAGTCGACCACTATTAGAACATCATGTGACACACGATATTAGCTTGACATGCGTTAAACAGCCAAATGTATGCATTTTAATTTGTCCCCCTGGCATTATTTTTTATTTTATTTCCTCTTATATATTATAAATATGAAGTTATTAGTATTTCAGCCTTGAAACCCCAGACGGTGGACATTGAAAATGTACCGTTTTATAGAGGAATGGTTCTGATATTTAATGGATTTATGTTTGTTCACGTTCTTGCTAACATTTTTATGAGATCAATTACATAATTATGTCCGTGTGGTAAATATGATGCTGCTGTTTTTGGTTTCACAGAGAAAAACAGTTAGTCACAAGAATGTTATTAAGCTTTTCATCTAACTCTTGACAAGAAAGAAAAAAGCATATTATTATAAGAGACAGAGACAGTCCTCCCATAATTCAACATGGCAAGGTTCTATAACGATGCTGAACTACAGTCCGAGCATCGGCATGACAACAATCCTTTAAGTTAATGCAAAAATTTTAGATTTTAGACTACTCTCAAGTGTGTAGATGACATTTAAAACATTTCTGGGTAAAGGAGAAAAGTTAAACCAGGACAGGAGTGGCAAGAAGCAGGGAAAGGACAGCTGACATCACTTTGGTTCAGTGGTTTAATTGTGCTCACTTGAGTTTTTTTCTTTTCGTTTTTAAAGTATACAACAACACACATGCATTTCAAATCAAAGTCGTGCAGACTCGTTTCCACTGTGGTCCTGGGATGTGCCTGTGACCTCTCAGGGGTTCGGGGGTCAGTTGCCTTACCTCCGGGGTCATTCTGCTAATGGTGGGCAAGTCATACCCAGCGCCCAGGAAGTTTGGAGCGTAGACCTGCAGCTGAAAGTCGCTCAGCCATTGGACAACGGCCTCTGAGCTCTACGGGAGAGAAAACAGGGGGCATGCGGTCACCGGCTACGTGTCTGCTTCTTCAACAGCCACTTTTTTCTCAGCAGGGCCAAGTAGAGCCAAACAGGGGCCACAGTTTGGTTATATCAAAGTAATGTTTGCTATGGCTGTCCTGTTTTTGGCACGGCATCTTTAAAAAATGCCAGAAATTCTTATGCAAGGCTTATACAAGAATGATTAATCACATTAAGTCAAGCCCTGGTCAGCCCTCCTTGGCCCTGCAGTGAAAACCAGGCTAAAGGTAGGAAGGAGAAAGGCCCAGCCCACAACTTTACAGCTGGAAATTACAAACAAATTAGAACTGATGTTGTTTCTATTTCACTCTGCTGCAGGAGGAGGGAGGCCAGAATACGCTGTACTGCGAGTTGTAGAAGCACACATTCATTATCACACGCTAGCCCTCAAAAAACAAACCTCCTTTAAATATTTTATATTGTATATAATATGACCTGTCATACAGTCACAGAATAATTGCAGGAATACAAGTTATTTTGTTGTCTACCCTTAGCCAATTACTGTTGATTTAATCCTCCAATGACGTAACTTTGCGGTTTTCCTCATGAGGCTGGTTTATATTGTAGCTGGTTGTTTTTCTAACTGGGGCTCCACATTTGAGCGGCGTATAAATGTTGCTTAATCTCTCGGTCCATCCAATCTACACCAACTATATGTCACACACTCACAGATAGACGTCAAGCGTTTGTGCACTGATATTAGCGCTGATGTTAGCACAGGTAGCTTGAGCCAGTTGCACATCTGTTAGTCTAGCTAAACCAAAATGTTTGCTAGATTAAAGTAAGTCGCACAGTGCGTTAAGAACAGTTTGTATGAAGCGATTAGTTGTTACTTAGTAGCGTTACAGTAGGCTATGTTTGCTAGCTGCCAGTGATAACTGTCGGATAGTTTACTTAGCTAGCTAGCATTAGCTTGCTAATTGCCTGGTTGGGGTGAGGAGTAAATAAGATAATCACCGTTGGTCGAAATATATTATGTGACATTTCTAAAATACTGTTTAAAAACTATGTGAACTTTACATAGATGCTCTAGTTTATAATCACCTGTAACTATGGGTTGTGTCTACGTTAGCTTAGCATGAGGCCTTCATATCTATTTAGGAAGCAGGTCCTCTTCCATGAAGCAAAACAACCATTTAGCATAATGAAGGTAAATTAATTCACAGTGAGAATTTTTTTGGTTTGCTGATATAGTTAATTGTCAGGAATGGTCTTTGGCTGTTTCTCAGCTAATCTGACAATAAAAAATATCCAAAGAAAGACGAGTTATTGGCCTTTTAATGTTTAATAATTCTACCAGATGGATAATATTGTTTGTTTATTAACTGGCCTCGTGTCAATTTGCATAACTAGCCGCCATAGTAGCTGTTTAAGTTGCAGTGCATTGAATTGGAAACGCTAACGTTAGCCATGACAATCCAAACGTCAGTTAGGTTAGCATGATCAGACACTTCCCCCTTGGTTTAAACTGAATACTGCTAACTCTGACACGCATATTCATACATGTATGTATAAGTAGCTCAAAGAAATAAAGTTTAATTTAGTATGTGACCTCAGATTTTTTGGGGGGCAGCTATACGATGTTACAGATTTTTGCGACAACCCTACAAATGCATCCTAGACAGCATTTCAAACAATACTTCTTTACGTTTCATAGGTTTTAATGATGTGACTTTATTAATTAAATCAGTCGCTAAAACTAGCCAGTAGCTACAATTCGATTTACGAATAGCCAGTGTGGCTTAATCCAGATCAGCTATGAGGAAGTATAGATGTTTAAATAGCGATAATTGCTACAGGACTGGATTTAACTCATTCTTCCTCTCTGTTTCCTCATCGTTTCCCTCCTCTACCTCGTCCCCACTGTCCCCTCAGAGACGATCGGTCTTCCCCTGCCGTCCTTCCTCCTCACCACCCCGCCGAGGGAGCGATCAGGAGGCTGGGTGCTGAGGAGGAATCAGGGCTCCAGCTAACAGATGGTCACTGCAACATGGCTTACATGGTAGCGCACACACACACACACACACACACACACACACGTACCACCGCGACCACCTGCTGTTTAAATATGCTCGGCAGGTTCGTCGACTTGAAATTATTATACAATGAGACGTGAACTTCAAACACGTATGCAAACACATGCACACCCTGTACAGTAAATGACAGCTTATTGTACACGGTGTGAGCTCATTTTTCACACTTCTTGTGGTGAAGCCAGTCCACCCACGCCATGCACACTGCTGGGCATCCGCCAGCACACACACACACACATCAATATCTTAACTAGAGTTATGCTTGCCTGAGGTGCCCTAACTATCAGATATTTATTCCAGCAAGAAAAACAAAAAAAACCAAAACAAAAATACTGCAATGGAAGGAGAGAAGCTGCAACTAAAAGGAGTGAATAACAATGGATAGCAGGTAGCAGATAAAGAGAAGGACAGGATTCTTTCTCTCAATCTCTCACAAACACAAGATTCCTCGTTTCACAGATCCACACACAATCCAGTCGCGCACTCACCGTGTCGTGGCTGCATCCGAACGCTCGCAGCACGGACGAGGCCAGCTGCGAGAGAAACCGCTGGGACATCTCAG